TCCTTTCAGACTCGCATGCTTTACATGTGACTCGCCAAGTTCCAATACTTTTGTTGACATAGACCAGCGCGGCAGACAGTTTATCCCAATCAATTGGTTTGGATGCCCGAAGGCCCGAAGCCGACCAACACTTCTCGTTTCCCCTCAGTTGATCTTCAGCACCGTAAGTATCTTTATACGGTCCATTTGAAATAATATAAAATGCCTCCAGCGAGGCTATCCTGTCTTTTGGAATGTCCTGCGCTGTAACCCATGTTTCAGTAGCCCACGTCGGCATAGCTTGACACTCTGGCTGGTTGTTTTCGTTTGGCTCAGCCGAAGTTATTACAGCACCGAGATACCATGCGGCCATTTCCGTAGCCCAATCCTCATCACTGCTCCTAGGCATACCGAGACCTCCTTTCCGGATTATTTTTGCAGCCTTGTCAATGTCTTGTTGCTCAACCTTGCCGCCATCTTGTAATCTTTGTTGGAGTTGGTCTCGAAATGTAATTAAATCCTGTGTTGCCTCCTCGAGATCCAACGTCTTTCTGCTAAGCTCGTCACAAATTTGGAGCAGATCGCTTTGTTGATTAGTCTTGGTCGGATTTCCACAATCCTCAAAGAGTTGAATAAGCGAGTTTCGCATCTCGTTTTCTTCTTGAACAGCTTGCTGCTCATTATGCCCGTGGAGTCGCTGGCACGCCTCATCCACAGCGCTCTTATGTCGTTGTTCTCCTCTCAAATAGCAAATTATTCTCAACTTGAGCTTGTTGCCAAAAATTTCAGGTACTTGCTCCCCTCCAATTTTCTTTTGGACAGACGTTATTGAATCATCAAATGCCTTTGCAGCACGTCCGATTGGGCTATCCCACTCCTTGAGTTTATCCAAAGAAGATTTCGAGAGAGGAAGCAAGATGTCGATTATTACTAACGATCGTGTTTGTTTATACGCAGAGACTTTTTGAAGTTTTAGCAAAGCTTCTGCAGCAAGCTCTGGGAGACGCTTTTCGGCTCGCCTAAACTTGTCGTTTGCTTGTTCCCAGTCAGGGATAATTTGGCTCTCCTTTTTATATTGTCGACGTAGAATTGACTATTACCTCCCATCAGTTTAAATTTTATACTCCCCCAACTTTGCAACGTTGAAATCAAAAACAAAGAGTTATTATTCAAGAAGCACGCACTTACATTAGGCTGCAATCGAGTTGTACGTGCTTTCGGCATGTTTTTGGGGGCTTTTAAAATAGTCTTTGGGCTTTGAAGGAGTTCCTTATCCCTCTTGCCAGACCCGCAAACGCTTTCTTGTGATCCCCATAGCTTTTGGCTCCTGATATTCTTTGTAATTGCGCCGAGAGCCCGGGTGCCTTGAGACAGCTTCTCATAAACGCAAGAGCTTTGCGACGCACTACCCCAACTGATAGAGATGGCAGTGCTTAGTCCTATTAGAGCTAATAGGTAAACTAATGAAGTTCTCATATTTGTATCTCGGGGTTGTAGTGGAATGCTAATGTAAATTAAGGCGAACTGTCATTATTTGGGAGACAAATTAGGAGGGGAAAAAAACCACAAAACCGGGGAACGAGAAGGAAGCTGTCCTTATCCGTTTCTATATGACACACGGTATCTTATATAAGAGACAAGTCACGATTTCTGAGTATGTGGGCAGCCTGGTAAGTAACTTGGTATCTCTGTAATATGTTAGGCATTCTCTGCCGCTCCTTGGCAGAGTCGTCGTACTTACCAAATCCGTCCAGGAGGTCGAAAAAAGCCTTGACAGCCAAACTACCCTTGCCGCAGCGCCGACACGACCTCTAGTGTGCGTAGTAAAGTTCACAAAAGAAATTTATTGCCAGGGCTAAAAGTAATAAGAGAACTGGAGGAGGCTATATCTGCGCGGCTACGGTTTCCTCCTGCTGTTGGTGTGCGACTCATTAATCCTGGGCTATAGCAGGGCTGGTATCTCTCTTACAGCTTTAATTTACGGCCCCGTGTGTTGAACAAATCTGGTGGAGTAAAAAGAAGACCGTTGTGGGCTACATATGTATCCCGTCCTGCCATGGGCCGGTGAGTAGAAGGAACTGTTGACGGGCAAGAGTTAATTTGACACATCCCCACACATCATATTAGTAGGCTACTATTTTGGCACTAGCCTCGCTCCTATGCCTGCATGTGAGGATTGCATCTGTGCATCCATGTCCTATTTACTACGTTGAATCGCGGTAAAGAGTCCGCTACTTAGTTCGCTGCAAGCACTTATGTCTAATTTGCTCTAAAGAGTCTGACGGGATCCGGACCAGCAACATTGGCTGTAAGTGAAGTTGGGTCGGAAGGAATCTGAACCTGTCGGATAAGGTCAACTGCATTTGTTGACTGAAATACCATGTAATTACGGCGTGGCAGAAAATAAGTAGTTGTGACAGGGTGACCTGGAAGTCTTCCAAACTTGGGATAAATGACACGCCCCCTTTTCCAAGAATACAGAGAATAGGTAAAACAAAAAAACGCCTCAGCAAGAAGATTAGTAAACAATAAGCCTTGCATAACGTGAAAGGAGGGGAAATTCTCAACTGGTAATCCAACCTATGGAGACAAGATGAATAAAAGAGGGAACGAGCGTGCCGCTATGGAGAATCTTATCCAGGAGGAGACCTTAGCCTTAACTCACAATGTTACTACGGGAGAGCCAGAAGAGCCATCAAGCAGCAACTGAAAATTCAATGTTGACCCAATCGCATTCTTGTACAATAATAGCACAAAAGAGAACACACTAGAAGCAGTTATATAGTATGTGGACCCTACGAAAATATGGCGTGTTTATAACAAGATGCTACGATAATGACATCTAGCTGATCACGACTATACGAAAGGACTATTATTGCAGCTTCATCCTTTACAGTAGTCAAGTTCACATATCTAAGAGAGAGAAAATACAAAACCCCGATAGCAAGATGTGAGAAACAGCCGTGGCCAACTCGAAACGTCTTAAATCTCTTCCAACAGCACAGCAGATTACATTTATGCAACTCAGATGCCACTACAGAGCCATCTTGCACAGATACCGGTCCCTTCATAAAGACGTTCGCCTAAAATCATGTTTGCTGTACAGCACACTCTCTCTTCTCTCCTCATTTTTATCTCCTTCCTTCTTCCAGCACTCAGTACCCATGTACCAACCCAGTCAGAACTACCAGAAGAGTTAGCCTGCTTTGCCAAGGTAGCTCACCATTTTCTCGGCTATGATTACCAGCTCACACGATTGATGGGCGTAGTCTCTATTCAAGGATTGATTAAACTTGATAGTATTTTTTCTTCTTTCCAGAGCCGTTTATCATCTATACCCCCCGGAAACGTCACTATTCAACAAGTCAGCGGGTTTCCATTCTTTAATCATATTTAAATAGCGGGTGAAGTTGTTCAATCGAGCAATAAGGGATTGGGAAAAATCAGTCATCCGGTCCAATTTCAGAGCAAGGCAACCTACTACACTATACCTGCTCATGTTTTTTTCAATGACGCAGAATACTACCAAATTCCCTTCTTCAACTCTCGCTTCGACTACCTAAAGCTGGATGGTTACCGTCATGCAGCGGATACTGCCGCCACCCCCCAAAATCGAATCGCTGCTTTATCAAAGGCAGCTATTGACAGGAAAACAGAAGAATTGCTGGATATGCGCAAGTCGATTGCGGTGTGAGAAGATGTCAAGGTGAAGTCGGTTATTGAAGGTGTTAACGCGGGCCCAAGTCATGCACCAGATATGACACCCAACAACTAGATGCATCTATGTGTGAGAGCTATAAGATGGAATTCAATACAATCAAGTTGAATTCCGATAGAAGGCGACAGCAATTCATTCGCTGCTGTGCTAGGTGGCACTATAAGAAACATTATTTCTCCTCCAATTTTGCTTGCTGGGTGGAAATGTGAATATTTCACTGTTGTGTAAGTTATCCCGTATTACGCTATTATATATAATTTGTGGCCGGTGCGTAGTGCGCAACGCAACATTTGAAGTTACTATTGGTTTACACCAAGCGCGGCTGCGAAAGCCTTCATGGATGCCAAGGGCAACCTGATAGGCGTAAGGTGCTGGAGACGGATAAAATGACAAAGTAGCCTTTGCCCACATATTGACTTGTATCAAAGTCGCAAGAAAAGCCAGAACAAGCCGCAAAGTAAAAGATTGTCTCTATTTGCGAAAGGATCAAATCGGGACGCATCGCCGCGGTAGTGGCTCTCAATACCTTTAAGGAGGATCAAGTCGTATTAGCCACAATCCTTGGAGACAAGAGCTAGCCAAAGTCTGCACAAGTGGTTATATTATTCCATGCTAATAGTGGACACAGGTCTACATTTGGTTGGTATCGGGGGGCTTGTCCCGTAGTACTCGACGCATTTTTGGCAAACTCGTTGCCATCTACAGTGGGTGTACAAGGATGTGATTGGAACCACCGTTACACTGGGAGCTGCTTTTTGGTGCTCCTACCAGTGACGTTGTAGTAGTGGAAGTCAATGTACAGGTTCAATTTCCAGAATAATCCATGACTCCCTTTGTATAGATGAGGGATCAAGATGCATGACAAGTTCCGCAAGAAAGTACAGAGAAAAAAAGAAGAAAATTTTTTTTCCCCCGTCAGCTTAATAGTATTGAATACAATATAATATTAGGCGCGTAAAGGATTGTGCGGATAAACGACAAATCATGCAGCTATCTGACTGAAGTTCAAGGATAGCGCATATCTGAAAGGGACGGACGGGCTCACTATAGACAGATCCTGGTATTAGGAGTTATATCAGTAATTCTGGATTAGCCCAGAGCATGACTGATTTCGTGTTAATTTAATATAAAAAGCCATTGCATGCTTGAAAGAAGAACTGGAAGAGGGGCAACGTGGTAAAACAGATTCCGGCCTGCATTGCAAGGGCATGAATGAAAAGACAGACACAATCGATAACTTGACTGGAAGTTCATGATGCACTGGATTATAATTGTCACGTTATTGCCAGCCAATTTCCTCCATATGGCTGGAGCTGGCAGCCGCAGCAGCATATTATATGTTGACGACGAACCGGCTATGACATTCCATTACACGACGGACCAGCCAGCATATGGCAACTGGATTGGCGTATGGAAAGCGGATGATGCGACCTGGCAGGAGGACGAGGCGGCCATGAAGAGGGACAGCTCCGTGGCCTGGCACTACGCACGAGGCATCGACGGCGAGGTGCGTCTGCCCATCAAAACCACCGGCAAGTACAAGGCATGCCTGTTTGCATCGTCGTCATCCACGCCTCGCACTCTCGCCGGCCCCGAGGAGTTTGAGCTGGCCAGCAACAGTCCATGCAACGTCGCCACCAACCCGTGCGAGGATGGCGAGAAGGAATGCTTTGGCAACTGCATTTCCACTGCCGACTTGTGCAATGGCGACGCGTTTGGCGTGTGTCCGTGGACCAGGCCTTCTATTTGGCAGGGCGGCGTGTGTTGCAATGGCGGTACTGACGGCACCGAAGGCGGCGACAACTGTACTCCCCAGATCCCTCCATGCAACCCAAAGTCAGGCAAGGAATGTTATGGCAAGTGCATCTCCAAGGATGACTTTTGTCACCCCGATGCGTTTGGCGTATGCCCGGCAGCCAAACCTTCTATTTGGCAGGGCGGTGTGTGCTGCAATGGCGGCACTGATGGCACTCAAGGCGGCGATAATTGTTCTCCTCAGATCCCTCCGTGCAACCCAAACTCGGGTAAGGAATGCTCCGGCAAATGTATCTCCAAGGACGCTGAATGCTGAACGTCTGTACGCGCTTATTATTTGTGATATCAAAAAAAGCCGGCTTACTATTCTGGTCAGAAGACACATGGTTCGACCACAAGGGGGTAGAATCATCTAAAGGCTCACATGCAGAATCTGTGACCCGAGCAACCGCTACAGTACAACTACTTTACTAGCTATTTATATATACTAGTATTATATCTCTTTACGACCAGGATAATCTAGTACATGTTGTTCATCTTCATAGCTTTTCTTGTATTTTATTCTCCAATTCCACTAATAGTAGACCCTCCTTTACGTCCTCTTCCTCGGCTCCCATCTCGTATACCCACCGGACCTTTCCAGCACGAGGACTTCGAACCTCCAGTTCCATCTTCATTTGCTTAATAAACGCCACCGCCTGGTTTTCCGCCACCTGATCGCCTGGCGACACCAAAACCTCTATTAACGTTCCAGAAATAGGGAGTATAATATGCTTTGGGTTCTTCGGATCACCGATTCGCCGAGACTTTGATACAGCTAGTTCGTCTGTGGAAATCGACGCCAACTGTACCTGATATGCGGTGCTCGAGGATGGGGTGGTGTATTTAATCTCTGCTACGAGAGAATTCGGGAAATTGTTTTGCAGAATTCTAGTCAGTTGAAGCCCATGTTGCTGTTGTTTTTCTCTCTGGTGTGAATTGTCCAAGGGCTCAAGATTGACAGACCAGGCAGCCCCGGGAGGGAACGTAATACTAGACGACGAGACGCTTGACGAGGTAGCAATTTCGGGGGCCGTTTGAGTTGTGGATTCAGTTCCATCGTTTCCTGCCCGTAGAATATCCTCGAGCCTGTTTCCAAGCCACTGAGTATCAAACCTGCCGGCCAGGAAGTCCTCATGGGACAGAATTCCACGTAAAAGGACAAGGTTCGTCTGAATACCAGACACTCTTGTATCTGCCAGGACCCGGCGGGCTTTCAAAACTGTATCCTTCCAGCTCGAGGCGGTAACGATGACTTTTGCCAAAAGATTATCAAACTGCGACCCAACTACAATGCCAGACTCTGGCACATGCGTGTCAACGCGGACCCCATGACCACTAGGGATATGGAAAGTATCAATCTTGCCCACGCTCAAAGAAAAGCCGTTGTGCGCATCCTCAGCGCATAACCGCAGCTGAATTGAGTGCATATTTCTTGGCGAGGGAATCAGGTCCTGCTCCAGACCGAGTTGCGCAAGTGAAAACCCTTGAGCTACCCGAAGCTGCGTTTGCACCAGGTCAACGCCGGACACAGACTCTGTAATGGTATGTTCGACTTGCAGTCGAGGGTTAATTTCGAGAAAATAAAACACGTCCTCCTTTTCGTTGACCAGGAATTCAACCGTTCCCAGCGACCGATAACGAATAGCCCTGGCCATACGCACCGCAGCACCTGCAAGCTCATCTATCAAACTACGATTTGAGAACAGCGCTGGCGCGACCTCGACGATCTTTTGAAACCTCCGTTGCACGCTGCAGTCGCGTTCCCATAGATGACACACGGCGGCGTTGGCCCCGTCCCCTATCACCTGAATTTCTACATGGTGAAACCCGTCGGTTGCTGCTTTTTCTGCAAACACACTCTTTGACGGAGACTCATTCGTGGCTGCGCGAACCGAATTCTCTAGTTCACCATCGTTTCGCACAAGTCGGATCCCTCGCCCTCCGCCGCCATCAACCGCCTTCACCATAACAGGGTAGCCCACTTGCTGAATGAATTCGCGTACACTCGCCAGATCGGCTACCGGGTGTGTCATTGCCGGTAGGACGGGTACGTGGCACTCCAAGGCCAGTTGTTTTGCTTGGAGCTTATCACCCGTGCGGGCCAAAATTTCCGGCCCAGGCCCAATCACCAAAATACCAGACTCCTCCATCTGACGGGCAAAATCGGCACTTTCACTGAGAAAGCCATATCCAGGATGAACAGCACCAATGTCATGCTCCTTTGCCAGCTTCACTAGCAATGGCATGTCAAGGTACGAAGCGGCCGAAGGCAGACGTATCGCGTGGTCTGGGCAGCCAACACTGCAGTGAAAGGCGTCATCGTCGGTGTACAATGCAAAAGTCTCAACTGGTGGTGACAATTCTCGCGCGGCCTGGATAATCCGTACAGCAATCTCTCCTCTGTGTTGGTTAGCCACTTATCCCGACCGCAGACCATCACAATGATAACATACCTGTTGGCAACCAAAAGGCGTGAGAAAAGGCGAGTCGACATGGTTGCAGTAGAGCTTCAGAGTCGTTGGCATGTCTAGACATGTTGTCCTGTAAGTTATGGGCAGACTTATTTCTGCCTTTTGTATACTTTTGAATAAAGGGCACCTCGGACCTCGGATGTGCGGATTCATCTCCCGTTTTTGGAAGCCAGTCGGATTACGTGACACTAAAATACCACGTCTACCTCGGCATGACAGAGAGATTACGTCGCATCCAAATATTCGCTTGCAACAGGACAAACACACCGACCAAAAATGGCTGCCGGTTTGCAAGCTGTAGGATTCTCGGGTTGAGTCTGGGCAAGTCATGGCGGTCTCGAGTTGCGTCATATTTTGGGTTACAGCGGGCAATTGAAATTGCTACAAAAGGATTCTCAGACAGCAAAATGTCCACGAAGAATACAAAAGTTGATAAAGAAGAAGCTAGCAAAACTTGGGCACTATTTTTCCTGCAGCCCGGTCCAACAGCCTCTGCGGCAGCAATGTCTTGTATACATGCTTGGCCCAAGCACAGCATATACTCCTCGTGTCCTTGGGGTCTACAATCTCCTCTATTCCAAACGCATTTGCCGTTCGAACAGGGTTCATCAGTCGACGATACTCATCATCCAGCTCCTTGTACCGCTCAGCCTTCTTACCCACTTTGGCTGCCTCGCCTAGTTCATGTCGGTGTGCGACTTCGATGCCTCCCTCGAGCGGGAGAGAACCCCATTGACCCGAGGGCCAGGCAACCTGCATGACGGGATCTCGCGAACTGATCATGACGCCACCTGCCACGCCGTACACGCGCCGTGTAATGACGTTGAACAGCGGCGTCGTGGTGTCAAAGTATGTCTTGGCCAGTTCGACACCCCAGCGCATCGTTGCAGCCTTTTCGGCAGCTGGGCCAATAGCATATCCGGCTGTAAGCGTTCCTGGTCAGCGTAGCGAGGACGGTGAACGCCATTGACTGCGATCAGAAGAAGGTTGACGGCATTGTAGGTGCCACTTACGGACATCGATAAACTGCAGCACCGGCAAGTTCATCACATCACACAACTTCAGTAGCCTCGTCAGCTTTTGACTGCCTGCCGCATCCAACGTTCCTCCATTCACCTCGCAGTTCAGCGAGATGATTCCCACAGGTCGCCCGCCGAGTCTTGCCACACCGCTGATTGCCGTCCGGCCCCAAAGTGGCCCAATTTCAAACCACGATTCCCGGTCAACCACGCTCAAGATGATGGTCCGCGGGTTGTACATGCGCGTCGGACGGCGAGGGATGACGCGGCGAAGGGACTCATCTGTGCGGTTCTCGGGGTCTGTGGACGGGATCACGGGCGGTGCCTCTACACCGCAGTTCGGCAGATAGCTTAGCATGGTGCGAAGCTGCTCATAGCATTCCGCCTCATCCCTGGCCATATTGTCAATAGTACCATTGGTGCAATGTATCGCCGGCCCTCCCAAGGTCTGGGGGTTCAAGTCGTCGCCAAGAGCGGCGCCTTTGACGACTTCGGGGCCGGCGTTGAAGAGCGAGCCAATGTCTGCAGCCATGACGGAAAAGTGACACGAGACTACGCGAGCCGCACCGAGCCCAATCTAGCCAGTCAAGTGTTAGCCGCCTCGTTGTTCTCAACACCATGAGTAGACGAAACAAACCGCAGGTCCCACGACCGCGCCCAGGTTGGGAATCCCTTGATTGAGCTGGTCCACAATGTGCCTAAACGCGGGCAGGCTCGGCAAGTAACTCCAGCCTTGGGTCCCAATAATGGTGACGCTGCCTCCGCCGGAACTGCCGTCCACCAGCTTGATCATGGGAAGCTTCAGAGCCAAGGCCAACTTTTCGAGGTAGATCGTCTTGCCAGCAGTGGAACCATCGAGATGGCCGCCTCGTATAGTAAAATCATCAGCCGTAAGGAGGACCTTGCGTCCCTTCAAGCGGCCCATTCCTTGGATGTTGTTGCTGGGGATGAATGATACGGGTTTATCAGTCGTCGGGCCCGTCTTCTCCCAGGTGACTGTGCCTGACAAGGAGCCAATCTCGGTGAAGCTGCCTTGGTCGAGGAGTTGTTCTAGGCGTTCCCGGACCCATAGCTTCCCGGCTTCCTTCTGACGAATGTACCCACGCCGCGAGGTGTCTGGGGTTGAGGCCATGGAGCGCAGCAGCTTCATGTCATCAAACACGTCGGAGTAGTCCACCGGCAGTTTCTGGGGGCTGAGGTGGGTAGAAACCTGGCGTATCCTCTGCGCCGCTTTGGTATTTTCTGGCATTTTGATGATTGACCGAAGTAACTATGCGTGGAATGAGAATTCCAGGAGAGAGTGGTTGTGGTTTCCTCAGTTATACACTTCACCGTTGCTGAATGGCGGGTCGTGAGGGGTCCGAGGTCCGAGGTAGAGGTTTCCAACATTCAATGTTGTAATACCAACCAAACAGACGCCTGATGCGTTACGGCCTGCTTGCATATTGTGGACCACAGGTCCGAGGTATTGGTGGCAAGTCCTGGTATCTGCAGACAAGATGCAGTCTGGTGGCTCCCGTCCATGGGCTGCAAACTGGACAGTTGATCACACCATGTAGTGTGAATGAATGCAACATGATGTATTGTCACCCTGTATCTTTCTTCCTCGGCCACGGCACCAATTAGAGACAATGGTGAAAATGTCCAGCAGCTCTCCATTGTGCAAGAGGCAACTATCTATCGGCATCTACATTGACAGTTCTGTAGCTTTCATCCAGCCAGAGAGGGAAGAAGGCTCCATCGTCCAACAGCGTATCCAGAAAGTCATCTGTAGGTGCACTCCCCTCTGCAAAAACATTGTCAACAAATGTTTCGCTCGCAGAAGCGTCTCCCATCGTCTCGGATCTAGCGTTTACTACAGACTGCATCATCTCGCTCGATGGAGCTGAGCCAGTTGCATAGCCTGGGAACATGTGTTGTACGGCTTTCAAGAATATACCACGGTGGATTGAGGCGCCGGCATATGTCTTCTGCAGCCCTTCCAGCACCAACAGGCACGCCTCCAATTTTTTAAGACCAAGCCTCCTCGGGAGGGAGCCAGGAGATTTGCAATCCAACAGATGCATTTGCATGGCGGGGATCAGGAGCGGGGGTCTAGATTACTTCTTAGCTGTGCAAACATACGGCCGCGGGCAGCATGTGCCCATCGGAAATGCAAACAGTCGAGTGAATAGGGTTCATGTATGATGGAAAGGCTCACGTCATGGGGCCTGCAAATTCAAGAAGCCCATCCCGAACGACAAGGTCCAGAATATCGTTTGTTCGTAGTGCCGCAGTACTAGCCTTTAAACAGAGCATGCGTTTCCAATCCTCTCGTTGAGCGGATGGAATGTCATCGGGACACTCTGTGGCATTATGGCGGTAAAATGTAATCAAAAGTGCTCTGTCATGGTCAGACTGACTCTTTGTGATGCCTGCAGAGCACAGCAAGGAACTCACTGATGGTGCAAGTGGATATGATGAACATAAAACGAGGCCAGGCGCGTCTGACTAGCTTCATATTGATCCGGCAAGGTACATTGCAGGATTTCATCCTCCATGACACGTATCTCTACGGATGATGCCCTGGGATCCCGTGCCTGGTGGTTCATGCTTAGCACAGTACCGAGCAGTCTACTCAGCTTGAGCAATATGATCCAGTACGTGGCCAGGCGCGGCATCTCAACCGGCACAAAGGCGGTATATGCACCTTGAGGCAAGTTTTTCAATTCTTGAATCACATCATCTACCGTTGGCATTGGGACGTCGCAGTCATCCAGGTTGATCCGCTGCGGCCTTCCCAGGCATAGACCAAGCCATCGATCGCGGAAAACGCAACTCCACCAGATTCGACGCCACAAACGTCGTTGCGGTTCACTAATGGACGACTTGTGTTCCGCCGAGTCCGGGTTCCTGTGCAAACCTAGCATCTGGCAATAATTAATGGCAATGCCGGTCCAATACCACGGTCGTACGTGCTCAAATGGCTCTGCGCTCCAAAAGCCCATTAAGAAGGAAGCTTGTAGGCGGACCACGAGATCTCTATCTCCACCATTGTTGTACATGCACTAGTTGGTGGCCGCAAGCGATTGGGTTAGATATGATGTCGATAGAAAACAAAAGATATAGGCAAAATGAATCACCGGCCTTGGAGGTTGCGTACCTTTGCTCGAGAGTACATGACAGCCTTCATATGCCGTCGAGACTTGTACCCCTCTCGTTCGAAATCATGAGACGAGATAAACTACAGACTTTTGGTCAGTCAAGCTAGGGTGAGTCCTGGAGAGCCTTTTTACATTCACCGCAACTGAAAATATGCTCCATAAAAGCAGAAGATTATATTGGCCAAGTCGTCCATTATGGTAGCAATCCCATAGTTGCTCAACCTCAATCACTGGGTAGACGGGATGCACATGGGACAAGTATACACGGAGTAAGGCGGCACAAGTATCGTTTTGGGGCAACGTAAAGACTCCCTTTGCTTTCAAGTACTCTCGATCTTCTTCTTCAAGAAACGTCTCAGTATCCGAGGGGATCAGGAAGTGTCTCGGTACTGACGAACCGACGTGTAAACCGAGGTGCTCCCCTACATAGCGGGTTAGTCTCCACTGATATTCTGCCATGGAAAGGATCTTGTTACCGGAATAAAAAGGCAGCTGTCCGACTCTCCGTGGTACTCCCAAGGCGGCTTCTGCAATTTCAATGCCACTGCGCTCCTCGTTGTATATACTGGCACTCTCGCAGTCCAAGCAAGACGCCGTTTGTTCCGCGTCACCAGCAGCGGCAACGTCTACTCTCATACTAGAGCATGGCTCGATAATAGAGATGGGGCCGGCATTGGCAAAGTTGGCTTGAGGCGCGTCTCCAGGTGGCGAGTAAAGAGCCGAGGTACGGTCTCGTTGATTTCTATCACGTTGTTACAAGTAAGCGCTCGGCTCATCTCTTGTTTCCAGGCACCAGACGGCTTCGCCTCACCTTCTTTGCCTTGGTCGTCGCGGACTGACAAGGCAATCAGTACCATCCTGGGTACAAGTGGTGCATGGCACGCCTGTGACAGATAGGCTGCAGCGCACTTTGCGCAGGCGACAACCTTGGCAGGCAATGACTGACCGATGACGGCGAATCAGCTCGGCGGGCTTTTGAGACGCCATCGTGCTTGTTGCAAAAGTGCAACCAAGCTGCTCTGAAATCCCGAGGTACTCTTGGTGCAGTATGTAACTAATTGGTAGATCATTGATGGATCAGACATGGAAGTTCCTGTTCAGCCTATTGGTGGCCACGCCACACCTACAAGTACCGAGGTAAAGACGGAAGCGCCGGTCTGGTCAATAGACTGTGCGGGGCCGTCCGGTCCGGTCTGGTGCCTTTTGTTGAAGCCGGCGGCAATTATATCGACCAGAATTCAATCTTGACACATCAGCCGTCCAGAAGTCCTCTACTCGTGCCACGCCCTCTAGGTTTCATCTTCGACTACCTGATGCAACCCCCACGTTCTGGTACGTTGCCGCTCGAATCACGCCATGAATAGCACTTGAGCGAATATTGGACTGGTGCTGGGACGTTTACTACTTGGATCACGTTGTCATGTCATATCAGCATTCAACAAGTTGGTATTTTCCGACCTGTTCGTTTTGGACAGAGAGAGCAGGTCGCCACTTTATTGGATAGCAAGATAAAGACCAGGCGCATCCATCCATGGCTAGAATTACCATGGCTCAAAGGCAGATCCCTGAACAAGCACACCCCATCATTACCTGCAAAACCCATAGCCCTAGGCGGCATGGCCCTTGGTGCCAACAAGCTCCATCAATCTTTGGGCCACTGCCTCCCCCATTTCGTCTTTTTGTTTTTCGACTGCCGCCCGCTCCGCCGGATCCTCGGGGGCATTGTGCATATCCAAGTTGAGGCGGGCCTGGAGCAGCCACGCCACGGTTGCTGGCTTCGAGTTCCATATTCTTCTATTCCCCGTGTTTAGTATCGCAGTTTTTATCCAGTCCACCGTCTCGTAGGGGAGAGGAATCGGCCGGCACATTTCATTCTTCAAATTATCGTCATTATACGTAGCTTCGATGTGTGCGATGAAGGCCGAACTAAACACCTGCTGGCAGGTCCGGACTGGCTGAAGCGTAATCTTGTTGCCGTCAAAAACAGGGACAGGCAAAAGCTTGGCGGCTCCGTCGGCCGTGCAGTTGATATAAAGAGTATCTGGTTTCGCCTTGTACGTGCCCCCCTGCAGCTTGACCTCGCCGTCCCCAACGCGGATAACGCGACCCATGCGGATTATGCTGTCAATCTTTCCAAGTTGTTTGAATTCTTGGATAGATACCGTCGCACATCGGTACATTGTAGGCCAGACCTTGTCAGACAGACGCATCAAATGGCCAGCAGACTCTAGCCGCTTGAAGAGATCGTCCACCGACGTTGCAGACATGGCCGCCTGGAAGCGTGCCATTTGATCTTGTCTGCGTCTTTCGCTGAACATGGGCCCAGGCTGAAGCGCCTCGCGATCCAGTAGCCAAGAGTCACGCGGCATAATCCAGCTAATATTGGACGGCTCGATGCCCCTGCCGAGCAGCCAGAGACAGGTATCAATGCCGGTTTTACCGGCGCCAACGACGGTGTAGTTGCCGTAGGCTCGGGTGATGCTGGCCAGCTCGTTGGGGGTAATCAAATTCACGCCAGACGCGACCTCGTAGGCAGGGGGGCCCATGGCCGGAACGCGGACCTTCATAAAGGTTGCGTCAACAATGCGAGTTTCTTTTCCGACTTGAAACGATTTGGCTGTGATGACAGAGTGAAACATGCCGTCTCCAGTGTATTCGCATTTGGGAAAGTAAGTGACTCTGCCGCTTGGCAAGAAGTGCTGGTACATGAGCTGGCTATAGTAGCCAACTACTTCTTGGGAGGTGGCAAGCTCCAACAGGCCTTTGTTTAAGCCAACCTTGTCCATTTGGTCATTTCCCAGCTTCTTGGAATTAACTCCATAGAAAGAGGATGGCTGGTGAAGGTGGACAAAAGGATAGGCCACGTTCCAGTGACCACCAGGGCTGTCATATCTGTCCACGATGACCGCAGTGGCTTTTGTATCCGAAAGCAGGGTGTCCACAAACGCCATGCCCATGGCACCGGCCCCGATAACTAGATAATCTGTAGATATCGTTTCAGCCATAGTTGAGGTTGATAGCAAATTGTATTTTAGCTAAAGAAAGCAGAAGTAGATGTTTTTTTATATACTCTTTGAGTAAAAGAAAGGGGAACAGGGCTCATTTTATATGCCCGCTCATTAAGAACTATTGGCAGTGCTCAAGTTGTAAGAAGACAATAGCACCCAGAGTATACGGCGACAGCTCTACCGGCGCAGACCCGGGCCCCATGTAGCGATGGCTATAAAGCCCGAGAGGGACTGGTATTCTCCTTGATGCCAAAAAACACCGATTCCGGCCGGGCTAGGTTAACCCGCCATGTCCTTACACAGATCCCAGGCGTGGTCTTGTGTATACTGCTCTTCCTACAAGGAAGAAAGATGTGTTTTCTCCTTACGTCATAGTACATAGTAGTAGTTCGCTGGACTTGTGGTTCCGGCTAACAGTTCCAGGCCGTTCAGGTTTAGTGTCCGTTGATTTGTGCAAGAAAATAAGTGGGGTGAGGCATAAAAGGCAACTTGGAATTTCTTTACTGCAAAGTAGCAGCGATGCTTTTGTAAAGTCCGTCTCCGCCCCCAGATCTCCAACTGGATACAATATTGGAGGTACGTAATCCAAAGAGGCTTTGCAAACATCCGCGAAAAGGTCCACGCCGTTGTGGCGCAGTTGTCACGGGGTCGTATCGGGAATCAATCTGGAACCAGCACTTGACCCAATAGAAAAACTATTCGTGCCAACGCTCCCGCTATTTAAGTTTGGGTTCCGTCTTCGCCTATACCCTTGATCGGGGCGGAAAGTAACGAAATGCCGCGTCCCACTTCTAGCAGACCCTACTCGCTAACCCTGGTTGATCGAAGCCACTCGGCTCGAACCGCTCAGCTGGTTGGGTTGATACATGGTGCCTTGTCGCGACAATAGCATGCCATAGCGTCCGACTGTTTAAAACATCCGTGTCAGATAAAGGCGGGCTTGGAGCTCTTGCGAAACATGTCACACGGCAAAGGGGCCTGGAAGGTATCGGGCCACGAAGGTTACATAATAGCAAAGAAGGGTATCACGAGCGACCGGAGCCGGACCAAAACCGAGAGCCGCCTCAGGCACTAGCCCTCACCGACTTCTTGTATTTATAGAGGCCTCTAGTCCCTTAAGACCCCCCAAAACCATACAACATATAGACTTACCTACTCGCACCTATTTCTCATTTCCTTACACTGTACCCAGTCCCTTGTGATGTCGTCGCATTGGCTCTGAAACGGGGCAAGGTTGCGATAATCTTTGTCGCTCGGAAACAGGTTACGGCGTTCCGAAAATCTTGGCCTCTGCGGCTGTCACCTTGGCAGCACGCGGAGTTACCCCAACTTTTTATCTATTAATTTATTATTACGTAATTTATTATAGTTCTATTTAGCGTGGCCACCCGCAATCGCGATAATAGATTTATTAGCCAGGTATTTGCTGCTTGTAGTTTGACAACGCTTTCCGCAGACGAGCTGGTTAACTACTCGACCTCTCTGTAGTAGGGACGGGGCTTATTCAGCCAGAGCGTGTTAGAAACCAATAAATTGATTACAATGCAGAGTAGAACTAGAAGCTCTCGGGGATCTGGCTACTTGTTTATATAATCTTGCTCAGGGGCAGATTGCATCGGCGTCAGCTGAGTGCACCTCAACGGCCCAGCCCGTTATACTCTCCCCTCGGAAGGAGATAATCAATCACTTGTCATTTGGTGTGCCTTGGAGAAATGTGAGTGATTGGGAAATGCGGGAAACCCTTCCGCCGGTATATTCCCCGCGATTTCCGGCCGGAATAGTCCGATGAACCCCGGAAATATACCGGTCAATTGTGTAAATGCGTATTTAAAAACCAGCCTTTCCAATATCCCCAAGCCGTTATTTGTACTTTTTTTTCTCTACTCTGTTTCTTTTCTTATAATTAACATTCAAGACTAGTAATACTGGGTAGACGAATCTTCAAACCATGGCTTCCTTATTATCTAACCAGGCACTCCCTTGGGGACAAAGGGTTTCTGCGAAGCGTCAAGCCTGTTATTACGCCCTGCCAGCTTCATGGCTATTAGACCAAAAGCTTTTGGAGTCTCTAGAGACACCATGGGAGAGATGCAGGAATAATATGGTAGAACTAAATGCCTTTCGAGAATCCGGCATACTTTCTGAACGCGAGCTGCGAATTACCGAGCAATATAATGTGGCTGAACTTCTTGGACTCATATCGTCAGGTGAAATTACTGCTTTGGAAGCCACTCTAGCATTTTCAAAGCGTGCGGCAATAGCACAGCAGTTGGTACGTTACCTTAGGAAAAGGAAAGGAAATCGTGCATGCGTTCAAGTCTGACTACTAGTTATTATAGACGAACTGTCTAACCGAGACATACTTTCCACAAGCGCAGCAGAGGGCAAAGCAGCTCGACTTACTAAGAGAAAACGGCGAAACCGTCGGCCCATTACATGGACTCCCGATAAGTCTAAAAGATACCTTTCAAATAAAGGGCAGTGAGGCAACTATTGGTATGGTTGCATTCTTGGACCAAGCCTCGACGACTAATTCATGCCTGGTGGATATCTTAAACGACTTGGGAGCCGTGTTGTATTGCAAAACTAATGTCCCTCAGACATTAATGGTATGTTTGTTTTCAAACTACGAGGCAAGAGAAGAAATGTTACCAAAAGCCTAATCTCACACACTATGTTAAACTAGACCGCAGATTCAGATAACAATGTGTTTGGACGAACCTTAAACCCCTGGAACACAGCATTGACTGCTGGTGGTTCTAGTGGTGGTGAGGGCGCTCTCATTGCGATGCGCGGAGCCGCAATTGGCGTTGGTACAGATGTTGCCGGTAAGTTTTGAAGCCATTTGGACGTGAAAATGTCCTATGCCTTATTGCGGAGTACAGTATTGGAGTAACTAACCTTCTAATATAGGCTCTATTAGAATCCCAGCCCTATGTTGTGGCACATATGGCTTCCGCCCGACGACTGGCCGCATCCCGTACGGCAAGCAAAGAGGCTGCGCAAACCCGGGGTTTCGTCCAATACCCCCATGCGCCGGACCTCTCAGCAACGATATTGATTCTCTCCCCATCTTTATGAAAGCCGTGTTATCTGCGAACCCCAGACGATACGATGCTACCGCTACCGACGTTCCGTGGCGTGAGATTCAAGGTTCGAGTGCGCGAAAGTTACGTCTAGGTCTGGTCCCTGAGGACCCAAGAATTCCACTCCACCCACCAGTCCAGGCAGCACTAAAAGAGGCAGTCCACCTACTAGAGAAACAAGGCCACGAGATTGTGAAACTTAGTCCGGAGGAGTGCCGCGTGGACCAAGCCTGCCAAGTTTCGTGGAGTCTTTTGGGACTTGATGATATGCCCAATCGTCGTGTTCTCGAAGCCGGCGAGACGGCTGTCCCATCAAGGCTGCGGTTTCAACAGGCGATTAGCAAAATGGGCATGGAACATGTCGCTGACATTCACGGGCTAGACCCCTTGCAGAAATACGCTGCATTGACGGTAAAGCGGGCCAGCATTGCCGATGACTGGAACCAGCTCTGGGTGAGCAAGCGACTCGATGCCGTTGTAGCACCGGCCGCTCAGAACTCCGCCGTTGAGCATGATGAGTTCAACGTGCCTGCGTATACGGTATTCCTCAACCTTTTAGATGTGAGTATACCAGACATCTTGGGGCATTTATACGCCCCCTTAGCGATAGGCGCTAACATCTACAGTATCCTGCATGCGTGATTCCATTTGGAAAAGTTGCCGGAATCGAGGTGAACTTCAAGGTCGGATCGGGTCAATCAACACCACAGTGTAAGTTGGGGATGCAAGCAAAATAATGCCGTGCTGGTCGGTCCGTCGGTCGCTAACTAAAGGGTAAATGGTAGATAACCCAAAGGCTCTGGAAGGAGCACCACTGTCCATTCAGGTGTTTACGTCGTCGATGCGTGATGAGGAGTGTCTTGATGTCGCAAAAGTGGTTGATGAGTGTTTGCGCCAGGGTGATAGCCACAAAGCTCGATTCTAGTATTGGACGTAGATTTGAAGGGTATCCAAAATATTGGCACATGCAAATAAGCAACGTGGTATATAAAACTAGCAGCCTAACCTCAAATAGCTTCCATGTCTATACAGTCAAGTTTATTCTCGAACAACGTCTTCTTAGTAGTATTGAGCGACGCTCAGAGTCCCAATAGAACAAGCAATACAACCCTCATCCCGGACAAGGATAATATATAATAATAAAATATAAGTTATAAATATTATATAAATAATAATATAATATAAAATATAATATTTAAGTAATAATATATTTAAGAGACCGGAGCCGAACCAAAACCGAGAGCCGCCTCAAGCACCAGCCCTTAAAATCTCTTAAAACTAAGAACTTTTAATACCTTAAAGTTGATTATTAAATTAATATTTTAATACACGTTTAAAGTCCAATTATCTGCGCTTGTCACTAAGGAGGCTTGATGTTGTAACCTTTTCTGATATCGGCAAATATTGAACTTATCCATCTGAAGTAGGGCGACTTTCTCAATACCGGAAGACTGGCTTTGACTGGCGAGCGCAAGAAAACAGGCTATACAAGCTGCCTCAGTTCACTATAACAGGGAAAGTCGACGGCTTCGGCGACCTCGACATTTACTTTCATTATCAAGGCAGTCAAATTCTCTGACAGTATTCTGCTTTTCTATCATGGGTGTTTTTGCCACATTCCGAAAAACGTTTGCCCATTTCTTTCAACTTGTACATGTTACACAGAAATGGCTGGTTACACAAGGGCTACGGTCACGAGACCTAGGATAAAGTCCCTCACCGACTTCTTATATTTAAAGACGTCTTTGACCTTTAAGGCCTTAAATTAAGTTATTACTCTAAGCCCCTTTTAAGTTCTTATCACAAATAACAAGCGTGGATCTACGGGATCCGTGGACATCAGCGGTGGGCCGTCATTTCCAACAATAATCTTTCGGGAAGTCGAATCACGTTGAGGTGCCGGTCCCGCTTCCGCCTGCAACTTTTCTTATATCTCGCGACCGAAGCCATCAGAGTAAGAGAAGCTATACTGAATCCCAGGACGTCTCCCAGGCTGAAGATCCGAAGCATGGGTCTCGCAAGTGAGATTCGAGGCGGCGGCTGGCTGGGGTTGTTCTTGGTCTTTCGTCCGAAAGAAGGCAAACACATCATACATGAACCTCGAGCTAGAGCAGGTCATTGCCAATGGCAAGGGGGTTATTGAAGTAGGCCAAGATTACCGAGTCATCTAATGCGTTCACAACATTGTCCAAGCTATCACCAAGATCCTCTTCCGGCTTTCCCATGGTAGCAGTCCCCACCACTATCCCGAGGACATCATAAGCCACCGCGGAGCGATTTTGATCATGGTCCATGACCATCCACGGTTGAAGCAGCCTGTAGTTTTATCCATGCCGTAAGAGCGGCTTAGTTAGATCAGTATCCCGCTCACCAACTGTAATCAAATTTCCAAAAGGGTCCTTCGTTTGCTCAACGAGTAAGTCATACTTGTCGTACGTCAGTCGTATCCGTATTAAAGTTATCTCTGTGGAATGGACTCAGAAATCTGTGGATATTGAAGAAGTGCTGTTGTGCAAAAGCCATCTCGGCTGCTGGGGAGTCGCCCGAATTCGGCGAGTAGAATACTTCACCGGCAGGGACCAATTGACCAGTTTCTGTCGCCTTCTCTGTGTACGTAGCGACAGTCGTTTTCTAAGATGTCATCTAGCTCAGTCTGTGATACCTTTCCAGCGCCGACAAAATTGTTCGTAGCAAGTGACTCTGTGAGTGCGAGCCTGTATATGGTGGATTGCAGTACCATCGACTCAATGGTTCTCAATGGTAATATGTGAGACAAATCATCGCTACGATAGTAAGTCCTTGATATTGACGTCAAGCGGCGATAACTTTGGGAGGGATCGGTAGCGCTGGTGCCATCAAAGTCCTCGAAAGGGAGGTCATGATTTCCATCTTCTGCGGTCGCAATCTTCTCCTGAATCTCTTCGAAGGAGAACAAGTTAGTGATATGATTAATCTTGCTCTCTCGGGCTATGTTATATAGCTCATAAGTTCTTGCTTCACACGATATTGGTGTTCTATTAGTATCCTGGCCGAGGATTACATTTAAAAAATCCTTCTCCTTGTATGTGATCGAAAGTTTTCTTTGTTTTTCTTTCTCATCATCCGTAAGCAATGGCCTCGGATCTTTGTGACGTCGACCGTAGTAAACCTCGGCCGACTTCGTGGGGACGCCGAATTCGTTTACCTCTAGCGCAAATTCATGCGTTACACGTGGGTTCGCCGTAGGACTTGGTATTCCTGAAACTGAGTACATAGTTCTCTCGTAGTGAAAGTCGATGACCTCTCAAGGATGGACCATGAAGGCGCCATGCCTGTTAGTGCCTTGCGGCTGAAGGATTTCGACGGAGTAATTTTGAGCGGAAACGCTGTATGGATTCCCTGTTTGGACGCTACCATTGTCTCCGGTTTTGGCATCAAGAGCGTACAGTTCTACTCTGAGGACCGTCCCTTTGAGTACGCGGCAAGACTCTCGAGCTTCTAGGTTCGTGGCAGAGAACGGGACTCGATTCGATGCCGTCAAGCGAATGCTAGTCGGCACCTCTTCTACTTCCGCCAACAACATTGCTGCTGTCTGCTCTTCAGATAGTCTGGGCTCCTTGTAGTACTCCTGCTGGAAGCGGCCTGCCATTGTTTGTCTTTCCAGGAATGCTCCGGTGTAATACCAAGTCTTGGTTAAAACTGGGGGAACGTGGGAGGCCAGATCAATGCTCGTGGTGGTATTGTCCCTTGCGGGAACGGAGACAGAGCCACCTAAGGAAATATCAAATTCCTCGGTATCGTACTGCTCAACCATTCCAAAGCCTCGAAATTCCCGTTCGAAGGTATCGAAGAAGCCATGGTGCTATTTAATCCTCTTTGTAAAACGGTTTATGCTGACACGATCAACATTTTCAACACTCTCTACGACGTGAACAGGAAATGGAAGATTGGTGACCCACGGAGTTCTAGCGGCACGATCTTGAAGGTAAAACTTGGTCGATGAAGCGTACTGAATCCTCGTCTCGGCGCCAAGGTTATTTTGTGAAGAGATCAGTAAATGTGGTTTCTGCCCACCGAGGAGGTCGATGTAGCCGACGTGATGCCCGTAATCTGAGGGGTTTGGTGATGACCATAAGATGCAGGGAGTTCCAGTCCCGAAGAGGTCAACTATGCGAACATCCGAGAGATTATCCACCCTTGGAGTCTGCACCATACAATAAGGATCGCTAAAGCTACTACCAGATTGATTGAAGAATATCTTGATATCATCCAACCCCAGATAGACAAGATCGGTTGTCCCCGAGCCGTCAATGTCGGCCAGTCGTATGCGGCTTTGACTAAAACGACCTGGCACGTCCGTCCAGATTTGGAAAATTTCCGAGTGTTATATTTGACCTAAACGCCCGTATCCAAGATTTAGCCAGTAGCATATCTCACTGTTTGGGATGCGGACGATGTCTAATAAGCCATCGCCAGACATGTCTGCAAGGTGAATGGATGTCTCATCGTCCCCCAAGACAATACGAGGGCCGATTCTCTCATCCAGACTCACACGCCGGTGCTCCATGGGCGCGAATCCGTCTTCAGCCAAGGAAGGGTACTAAGTGAATACTCGATCATCACTCCTAATAATATCGGCATGCCCATCACCTGTGAGATCTATGACAAGTAGCGTCGGATCGTCCCAGCGAATGTTTGGGAGGAATTTGAAAGGCGTAAATGACGACCAGTCTTCATTTGCTATCTTCTTGAAGAACCCTGGCGTAACTCCTGAAAAGTCCACGAGACTCAGCTGTCCATTTCCGCCGAGGTCGAGGAGCTGCGACTTCCCGTTGAGCGGGATAGAGGACGGCTTTTGAGCTACGGTTTCCAAGGGGCCCAGCTCGGCATCGCCAAAGTTTCGTTTATAGAACCAAGCGTTTCCTTGCTCGGTCAATACGCCTGCTATGCCTTCTCCGTCCAAGTCTACCCACTGATACTTGTCCGAACCCAGCCCGGTGGGAAGTTTGCCGAAGCTCTGGAGGCTGAGTTCTTAATAGGCATTGTTAATAACTGCCTGACTGTATTCGAACTATATCGGAGGCATGGATCGCTTTACGTATGCAAGATCGCCAGTACGAATATATCCACTTTAGTGGACAGAACTTATAAATGATGCTGTGGGGTTTCCCAACTTGATGTCGCTCGGCACGCCTCGTGTGCTTCTGTACTCGAAATTGGTTGATGACACTAGGCAGTTTACGCCAATATCCACTTCGTGCGGAAAGTGGTGGAACATAAGAACGCGCTGGCATAGGCGGTAGTGCCGAACCTCAAAGCCGGCGCGGTAGACGGAGAAAGGATCATTCCGGCATAACCATGGGTTCGGTCATGTGGGTGTCGGTCGGTCAAAATCATGATCTCCATAGTCTATGACAACTTCAAACATCCAGTTGGTGTCCGCAGGGATGGGTTGGATGAAGCGCGATTGTCTGTTTCCATATTTGATGCGCTTACGATACCGGGCCACATATCGCGCTGTCTCAGTGCGGTTATGTTCACACGGCTGGGAGAGGTCTACTCCTATGGAATCCTCAGATACGTAGCCGTATGAGATGATATTGCCCTTATCATCGAAGCTCTCGGTAATGAGCCAGCTAAATATTCGGGTGGGCTTGGAGCAGCCGGGTTTTCTGGATCAACAACACGGGATTCGTTATTGGTGCCATATAAGGTAGTTACATTATGCTTCGAAATTGACCGGCAGTGAATCTCTCCGGTGTTCTTAGTCCAGCGCTCAATTACCGAGAAGAGTCCTTCGATTCGTGGCCGATATCGTTTGACGCTGTACTCTTCTCCATTGAGTGTGCGCGGCGTTGGTTCACGCACGGCCTAGTGGCCGTTTCCATCATGCTCCTTGAGTGGGACGAGATCTTCGGCGCCGAATAGAATATATTCGTCTGGGTCGTCGGCAGCATTATTTCGTCCATTACTCTATACACGCACGGCTAATCCAAATCCAAACTACTCCTTGTCTTCCGCGGCAGCCACATCCTTCAACACACCATCAACCATGTCGTGCCCCAGTCCCTTTACAAAACCAAGCAAGGCCTTATTCGCAGCGTCCTTGACATCCTCCGCCGTCTTCCCCTGCGTGAGAAGGTTAAGCGCAACATACTTGACCAGCACCTCTGCCGTCTCCATAGCCGTCTTATTCACCAGCGGCACAACCTCCTGCAACACAGTGGCATTGAACTGCGTGAGCTTGTCGTCCGCCTGGATACCCGCTCTATCAGCCCGGTCCGCCGCCTGCGTCAGCTCGCGAAGCTTCCCCTCCAAGTTTTTCGTCCATTCGCTCTGGAGCTCTGCCCGCCCGTCCGTGATATCAGGAAGATGGGCGTTGAAAAGCCACGACGCCCCAGGAAAGTTGGGCTTGCTGGCCGCCGCACGCACCTCGGTGAGCTTGGCCTGGATTTGCCTGTAGGCCTCGTTGCAGGCCTGATCAGCGCGCGACTTGTATCCCTCGTCGGTAATGTCTTCCCTATGGATGTTGTCGATGTAGTCTACGTAGCATTTGGTGGCACTTGCGAGGCGGCGCTGAAGATCGGTGACTTCTTCGTGGTAGTTCTCCACAAGCTTCGCCTGATCTTTGATCTCGAAGGCGTGTTTGGCCGCGTCGCGCAACTCGTCTAATTTTTTCTGGTTGCGACTGTCGCGCATATCCGGGATTTTAGCCTCAAAGAGCCAGTTGCCGTCGGGAAAGTCGGGCTGGTAGGCCGTGCTGCGGGCATCGCGAAGAGAGCGCGCAACGGCGTCGTATTCCGTGTCACAGGCGTCGATGCTGTCGGGATTAGCACCTGGCTTCTGGACGTTGTTGTCATACGCTTCGTAGCATGTGACGGCTTTGGATAGATGGTCGTAGAGCGCTGTTACGTGCTTTCGGTACTCTGGCAAGAGTGCTGCTCGCTTGCTTGCCTCGACCGCGTTTAGCGACTCAAGAGTCAATTGGTGAACCCGGTCTTGTAGATCTTCGGTCCACGGGCCCTGGAGGCTGGTTCGACTGTCGAGGACGTCGGGCAATTGAGCTGAAAACAGCTCATCTGAAGGAAAGGCTGGGCTCCTGGCTATCTCATGGGTCGCAGCCAACTCAGCTCGGGCTGCTTCATTTTTATCACCACAGGCGTTGATAGTATGCAAAGTATCAGGTTCCGACTTGTGAAGGTTGTCAATGAAGTCGGTGTAGCATTGGGTAGCGTTTGATATCGCGTCATGAAGTCTTGTGACCTGGCCGCGATATTTTTCCAGCAGATCCTCATCACGGCTCACTACGGCCACTCCTACTGGGTGCAGCGGCCGGATTTCCCTGGCTAGGGACACCGTGGTAAAGAGGGAGGCGGCCAGGACAGAGAGAAACATGTTGAAAAGAGTGTCGAGGGTTAGAACACAATGTGACGGGTCGTTTGGTTCACGAGGACTGCTTTTTTTTAATCTCTCTTATTTACTAGGCGTGTCTAACCTTTGTATACCCGTCAGCGACTAGGCGAGTAGTAATATTGAGTGCAACAAAGTAGGGGCATGATTTTCAGCGGTTCGTTTTAGGCCCCTGTCTAGCTAGAATGCATCAATGATAGAGATTAACATGGTGGCATCAATACTTTGCTCAGCCGCGTTTCATTCGCTGTATCCAACTGCGGCATAAAATTGTATACGAAATATTGACTTCTCATGTCATAAAATATTGAAGTCGAGGACCTTGTGAGGGCCCGTTTACCCCACGGATTGTGAGTCAAGAATAAGTGCCGTGGTTAATGCAATCAATAATGAGTTATGCCGAACAGGGTTATGGGTATAATCATTAATAATTAGCTTGTTGGGAAATAAAGCTGCCGTTTGGCCGTTATGTCCGATTGGCTACCGACCCTGAAACTGACTTATGTCTCCTATCCACAAGGTCCTTGACGTGCCTTTGATGAGATGGGCTGCAAGCCTGAAATTCAAGTATTCAATGCAAGACGTGATTGTAGAGCACATTCATTGGGAGCCAGGCTGTACGCATGAGCGCTGTAGCCGATTGTCTCCTCCTTTAATCATATTATTGACTATGGAGGAAATCAAATTCCGTATTGTGGCGATGAGCGAATTTATCCTATAGACAGCCAAGGGGTTCAACACATCCAAGGGGTTCTACTACTGTATATGTACTCGTCAATGCTCCATGGGCATTATTGCTTGTTGTCCAATTTAATGTCTTGGAAGCCGTACCGTCTCAAGTCTGGTACATTATACATATGTAGGGAGTCGATGCACTGTATATGTGTCTATCGGTCAACTCCATTTTAGACGAGAATGACATTTGACGCTGTACTCTACGAGCCACAGACTTTTACTCATAATAGGGCCAAGAGTTCAATTTCAATACACGAGCACCGTAAATATAATGCTACCGTACCTCGTAGCACCATGTGCCGGAGCACAATCAGCACCATAACTATCGCAGGACTAGTACATGTATCCATGTCTCTTTAGCTGCGAAATCGCTCGAGGAGACTCGCTGATATTCTTTGTAAAAGGAAATTATATGGCAGAGAAGCTAAGCGAGTCTCCACGCGCCATTTTGCAGCTAAAGAGATAAGTAGCTGTTAACGGGTAAGTCCGTCTGGTCTAGTTCCACCGTACCTCAAGCTAGCCGTTAGAGAAGAAAGTTGATTTATAATTGACACCACTTTGAATTTCGACATGGATGCAGTGGAGCACGTTAATGCGCCAAGTCAAACCATTGACTGGAGCCGTCAATGTCTCGTATCTTTAATGTTGGCTTGCCAGGCTTGAGGGCATTGACCAACATCTGGCATGACTTGGCTCGCCATCCAAGCCTTCAAATATTTTGGTGTCTTTAATGTTTGCAGTACAGAAAATATATAAGGCCTGGTGCTCTGAGGAGGGTCAACAGCGGCTTACAACTATCGAGGTCTCTCATCCGAGATACACTCCCATATACTGCTTGCACTCTGTTCCAAAAAAAAAATACCATGACTCACAAGGTATTCGGATGGCTGATCGCCCTGGCCCTTTCCGAGGGAGTCTGGGGTGGCCCTACTCAACTGCCGTCCGGCTCTCGTATCACCATCGGCTACCGACGCGTCCATCCTGTAGGTATATAACCACTCCCACGCACGTATAACCACGTCTACATGACTAATAACGTCGATATTGTAGAATCAAGCCGCAAAATACAAGGAAGCCGGGACTCTTACCGATGATCCAATAACAGGTCACACGCAAATTGGCGAAGGCGTCTATCTGACAGCCGGGTATGGACAGTGGGAGGGGCACGCAGGAGACGTGTTAGTATCAACCAGTCGACTGTCACGGTCAGGCAACTAACTTGAAAATATATTCCAGCGACTGCGCTGTCACTGCCGACGAGGAAGAATTCCGCAAAGTGCCCAAGGTTATCCTCCCTGACGAGCAATTGTTAGACACGACCCACGAGGAAATTGATGCATACATCAAAAGCCAGGATAGCAGCTGGGACCCCCTAAAGACCATACGAATATCACATATCCCCAAGTATGGAGATGGAACGGTAGCTCAGATGGCTATACCGCAAGCATTGCTTAATTCCCGCGGCGGCAGTCTCCAGATCCAAGTCGACTGCGAGGACGCCCAAGGTCCAACCGTGGACTATGGCCAATGGGAAAATACCAAAGGAGACACCAGCATCATGCCTGCAAGAGCCGATTCCAACAAAATATTCGATCTATCCAACGAACTAGATGCATCCAGAGACCTGGTTGAACAGGTAAGCTCCCCAGAGCACGTTGCTCAACTGGAGCTACGCGCAACAAACGCCATGTACACGGCCAGAGAAGGCGTCAGACACTACGTCAAGACTGCAGAAGAATGCAAGGGCGACCGCGTTCTAAAAGGTCTCTGTAAAGACCAAATCAAGTATTACTTGCAAGACAGGCAGGCATATGCAAGATTCTTGATCAGGGCAGCCGAGCGGTCATTTGAAATGCTCACAACGCCCCTCAACGCAGTCAACGACGATGCAGCGAGGCAGCGCGCTATTCAGGCCTTGCAGGAATGGGCAACCAGACTGCAAAGACAGGTGGATGCCAGAGCGAAGAATCTGGAAGCTCTTAAAAAGGGCGAACCTGTAAAGGGGCTCGACGACCCCAAAGAGCGGGATATAGAAAAGACGGCGCTTAAGCGCGAATTAAAGGCCATGAAGAAAAAGTTGAGCAAGTTAGTAGACAAGGTTGCTACCTTTGGGGCCAAAGAAGAGCAGGGCAGCGTTCCGCCTAAAGAGGGTCAGAAGCAGACCAAACTTCAACAGTTGCGTGAGTGGTTACAAAAGAATAAGAATAGATTTTTCCCTTCGGGCGACGGCGACAAGGACGACTATGAACCTACCGCTGGCAAGGACGACAAGGACCCGTCGCGGCGAGAGGCCTGTGTAAAGGAGCAATATAGCGGCGATGCCAGCCAGGCGTTTGGTATGCACTATGCCCAGTCTATTATATTCTCCCATGCTGATAATTGCAGAAACGGCCTACACCGTCATAGAGGAACGTGATGACGAGGACCGAATTTGTCCAGAAGGACAAGAGGGCGCAGCGGCGTGTGCAGCGGCCAAGTTCAAGGGAGACGGCCAAGCGGCGTTTTGTATGCAAAAATGATTCCCTTTATTGCACGGCGTTTCCTTCTAACCAGAATTGACTCTTCTTAGCCGATGCCTATCAGCTGCTCAAGGCAATAGACAGCTTGGAACTAGTCTGTCCACCGCCAGACACTGCCGGAGACGCACCCGGCGGTAGTAGCCCAGGTACGAAACAATGACGCGCAAAGGCTAGATGCAAACATTGAACCGACGTTAGTGCTCACGCAACCACTACAGCAGCAGACTTGGCAGGTCTTCGCAGCGAAGGATGGCGGCTTTTCGTACAACAAGCCCTCGGCCTGGGATATACCCGCGAGCGTCTGGTGCACATTTTAGACCGAGGCGTCGGCCTGTTGCAACTGGACAATCCCCGGCTCTACGACCTCCTCCGCCAGCATCCCGCCGCGTTCAACGTCCTGCTCGGATTGCGCAGAGACGGGGTGCGGCTCTCGTCGTGTCTTCCCGACGGACGCCTCCAACGCCGGGCCAACGGTAAGACGCGCTAAGACGGTATCCTTGAGTCTGCTCCTTGTGCTAATAGCTGCCAGGCGCGGGACAATCCATCGATCATTGCGAAATCGTGCGTGCCATGACGAGCGGGAAACAGGCGGACAACGCGACCCCGAACGATGACGGAAAACAGCCGCCGACGAAGCAGGAGCCGCCGAAAGAACCGGAAAACAAGTTCCACGAGCAAGTGAAGAAATTGCAACATGTATCCTCGGGCGACAGCTCGTGGACGGGCGGAATCCTAGGCGCTTTTTTTGCAGGGCCTCTATTCGCGGGGTCCATTCTCGCCACGTCGCCCGAGGTGGTCGCCCTCATTGGAGAGCTCGGCGCCAGTCTCGGGCTGGCCGGGACCGCGGCCGGGAGCTTCTCCGAGTCATCGGCCGTTGGTGGGGCCTTGTCGGCGGTGCGATCGGCGGCCGCACGATCGGTTGGTTCCATCTTGCGGAGGACCATTGGGCGGCTGAATTACCTGGCGCACCGGGCCATTAACCCCGTCGTGAGGAGGATCGTGAGCGACGCCGTGCGGGCTGGCACACGGGCGGCGGAGCGGGAGCCTTTGCTGAGAGCTGGCAGTTTGGTGCACTAGGTTGCTGGGGTCTTGTAATCTTGACGTTTTTAGGCATTTCGACTTGCAAGTAGATGATCATGACTGCTGCATATTCTTGCTCTCCCAGTTGAGGTGTTCTGCCACCTTAAGATGTGATTGTGCTTCCTGCACAGAACGAGACGAGACTTTAGAAGGTCGTCGAGTCCACTGACCATCTCTTGCTGCGCAGCCTGAATGCGCAGCTCCGCAGGCCACTGCGCAAGCTGCTTGTCAACTGAGGCGACGATACCAGCAACGCTTGGTGCATTTTGCGAGGACCCCGGAGATGGGTGGGTGACATGGATGCCAACCAACATTGTCTTCCCTTCGCCAAGGATGCCCAGCTGTGAGCCATCTATGTAATAATTCTGACCCCTAAGCTTCAAGTTCGCCTTTAACCCCACATTCGCGTAGTACTGCTCGTCCACTTTGGCGAACTTGAGCCGACAACACACACATTGATCAGTCCTGCTTCGACATGGCACGCAAACTTGACACGGTTATACAGCGCAACATTATCGGAAGCTGGCAGGATGACGAGAAGAAGCTGCGGAGGGTTCTGGCTGGTCGCGAAACAGCGGATCGCAATATCAACCTGGGCGTCGGCATTGTGGGGTTTCACCTCGATGTCAAGACCCTTGACGCATTCTCCTGCATTGATACCTAGCTTTCTGAGTGTATCCCTGAATCTATCAAGCAACGACTTGAGCTCCAGTATATTGGCCCAAGGGTGGTCCTTACCCCGAACTGATATGCTGAGATAAGTCCCACGAGCCAAGTTGGCGGCCGAGTTGACCTGAAGTGACCGAAGGTTCCAGCTGCCGTATCTGTCATCGGCAGCCTTACCCCCGCAGTATTTAACTACAGGCGGTGCTAACACACGACCTGGCACGGCAATCAACTCAGGGCGTGCTTGAATGCCGAACGATGTCTATTACGATCAGGATCGTGGCCCAATTTGGGGTAAAGACGGCTCGGGAGACTCACCAGAGTAGGGCAGGTGGGCGATAGACCCAGAGTTTGCAACCCAGACGTGGCAATAGACTGCGCGTTGAATGTCGGCTTCCGCACCGCAAACCTCATAGTCTGTTGTACTGGATTGGGGCTTAGCTGCGATCGCGCAGGTTGGCCTGGCAGGACATGGCACACCTCCAAAGGCACATGCAGGTACGACGGGTTCTTTTGGATGCTCACATTGATAACCGGGAACGTCGTATCCCGGATAATTATTTTATAAGCTGCAATATAAGCTTCTTGTCATTCTGCCCACAATTGTGGTCTGGGAAGATGAACATACTCTCTTCGAAGTGCTCGTACACGCTTACGTATCGGCCATCGACCCGTTGACTCGGACCTGCTACCAGGACTTTCTTGCCCTTTTTGTGGCCCTCGGCCCGTCTTGGCGGAGACAAGCTCCCCGCAAGGAAGAACTCAACATCTTTCGGCCCAGCCCCGAAACCAACAATCCTCGGAGGGTATTGGTTATCTCTGCCATCCATCTGCGTAGCTAACCCCGTAATCATTTTGATCCGCTTGATGACATCTCCTTGCCGGTTTGTCTTGACAATATGAGTGACGTTTACGGACAGATTTGTGAGGAACGCGGCCAGTTTCTGTAAGCTGTGACTATTCGCCGTCATGAAATGCGTTGCTAGTATATCAAGAGGGCAGTCGCCGTAGAATGCACCATGTTTGACTTGATTGTTAAGTAAAATCCGCGACGTGGCGACTCCCCCATTGCAGAAGAACCCTCGGAGAATTTGAAGGCTACCCGCAAGACTAATCTTCTCATCCGAGTTTAGGCTGAAGTGCCGACTTGTTCCGATTGAGGCAACGCACGCATCAGCCTCAGCATGATACCCATGACAATGTTCAGGGCTTGGAGGATCTCTTCTTTGGATCCAAAAAGGCCGCCAAGACTAGCCGATATGAGCTCTCTCGTGAGCTCACAGACCGTCAGAGCGCCGGTGTACTGTATGCGTACGAGACATGGTGTCGCATTTGATTGTGCTTCATCCTCGCCTTCAGCTCGATATTGCACTTTGTATTCTCCTTTGTCAATATGGAGCTCAACTATACTGATGAGGTTGGACTTGAAATCGCTGGCGATTTTATCTGCTTGCGACGGGAAGTGATCAGTCAAGAAAATCTGAATGATCCGTTTCGCTTTTCTCCCAGCAGGTGGCTTCAAGTATGAGGACACGGTCACGGCCAAGCTTGGAGCTCTTGCGAACCATGTCATATCGGATCACAAAGGTTACAAAACAACAAAGAAGGGTATCGCGAGCAACCGGAGCCGGACCAAAACCGAGGGCCGTCTCAGGCACTAGCCCTCACCGACATCTTGTATTTATAAAGGCCTCTAGTCCCTGAAGACCCCTCTAAAACCAAGGACTTTTAATACCTCAAAGTCGATTATTAATAGGCAGACTTTATCAGAGCGACAGCAGGACGTGAGGACGCTGATAGAGCTAG